TACCACCACCACCACCACCACCAGCAGCAGCACAACAACAACAACAACAACAACAACAACAACAACCACCACCATCACAACAACAACAACAACAACAACAACAACACCTACCTCCTTGCCCGCCGTATCGCCCGTAGCAACCACCACCCTCTCTTTCTCCGGGGGTGGCATCATCCGGGCCTCCTCCGCCATAGGACGGGTAGAGTTGCGCCCCCTGAACTCTTTCAGAACCTTCAGCATGATGATCTTGCTCTTTGCCTGTGGGGGTGATACAAGGAGAGGGTGATGAGATGGTGATAGAAGGAAGGGTGACATGGTGAGACATAGGAGAGGGTGGTGAGGTGGTGAGACATGGGAGGGTGTTAGTGAGATTTTGATACGGTGTAATGGTGAGATGGTGATATGATGATACTTATGACGAGTAGAGTTGCGAAATTGGTTGGGGGAAGAGGGGGTGAGAGGTGGGAGAGATTGCTAGATTTGAAGTGGGTGTGAGAGGTTTTGTTGGCGAGGGGGGGGGGGGAGCCGTCAATCTCCGAAATGATGTACAGTATGTCGAGAGTGTGTCTATAGTGTGTCTATGCTGGGTCCATGGTGTGTCTATGGTGTGTTTTTGGTGTGTCTAGAGTGAGTCTATAGTGTGTCAATGGTGTGTCTATGGCGTGTGTATGGTGTGTGTATGGTGTGTGTATGGTGTGCGTATGGTGTGTCTGTGGTGTGTCTAGAGTGTGTCTTTGGCATGTCTATGGTGTGTTGATGTGGGAGAGAACATTACAATGATTCACGACCAATACTATTAGTCCTTATATCATGTACTAGCCTTCTTATTAAAATAATACCGGGTGCCTATTGCAGAAGGGATCGGGTCGGGTCGGGTCGGGTCGGGTCGGTCGCCCGACTCGTCGCCTGAAAAACAGACTCGTTTATTTTTTAGGCGACGAGTTGGGTGCGATCGGCTTGTAGCACAATAGCTGCTCAGCACCCTCAGTCTGGTTATACAGGGTGCCCACTACGCCTGAAACTGAAAACAAACACGTTTGTTTTTGAGGCGATCGAGTGGAGCGATCGGCCCGATCCGCTGATCCGGGTCGTAGTGGGCACCCCGTATTAGCGAACCGACCCGATCCGTTCCTCAGTGGGCACCCTGTGTAAGGCAAGCTTCACGTAACTGTCCCGGCTGTACTGCAATCACATCCAGCGTTGTTGTTGTTGAGGCCCTCGACTGACACTTTTCTCCGGAAAATCAAAGTCCACAAGGTGTCTATGTCTGTGTCAGTGTCTGCGTCTGTTGTTTGTGAAGACAATTAAAGTCCACACCGTGTTTGTGTCTGTGTCTGTGGAAACAATCTAAGTCCACACGGTCTTTGTGTCTGTGTCTGTGTCTGTGTCTGTGGAAACAATCTAAGTCCACACGGTCTTTGTGTCTGTGTCTGTGTCTGCGTTTGTGTCTGCGTCTGCGTCTGCGTCTGCGTCTGTGTCTGTGTCTGCGTCTGTGTCTACGTCTGTGTCTGTGAATAAGTCCACACCGTCTTTGTGTCTGTGTGTCTGTGTGTCTGTGAAAAAGTCCACACGGTCTTTGTGTCTGTGTCTGTGTCTGTGTCTGCGTTTGTGTTTGTGGAGACAATCAAACTTAATCAAAGTCCACACGACGCCAAATTCTTGTGGAAAAAACAATAACGTCATCAGACACGGACACCTCGCACCTGCTGACAACATCAACCTCCCTGGACTTGTAAATATATAATTTCAACAGGCCACAACTCACAACGTCAACTTCGCCGGACTTGTAGATTCCAGTGGGGCAGAACTC